CATCAAAGTGTAAATGCACACCCATTAGAGTGTTACTGCCTCCATTTGTAATTTGGTCCACCCTACCCTCCTCTGAAGTATCTTGGAGTCTCTAAAACAGACAAGTAGCTGAATAAGTTGATGTGGCAGACATGGGATTGCAGCCCAATAGCATGTAGACTTACAAAATATGATCGATCTGTCCTGAACCCTGAAGCTTTACAATGCAGAGTAACGTGCAATTAGTTTACACATACACACAGACATTGCTCAGGTTTTCCCACTCGAAGAACTCTCAAACATATGTATTGGTTCTCAAACTCTGATGTCAGGGCATTCTGAGGCTGCACTGAATGTATCTAAATATTGATTGGATTTATCTTTTTAAGCTTTCTCTCATTCATAGACCCATAATTTACAATAATGATGACTTTTCTAGTGAGGGTGGCGGGACAACATGTCCCACAAACAGACATGAAGTGAGTGAGTGACCAATTTTATCTGGGGGATTGTTGGAAAGGACACCAAAAGAATCCTCCTTCTCTTTTCGAATCGTGCAATGGGATCTTTAATGTCCAGCTGAACAGGTAGATGTGATGGTGTAGTCTTATCCAAAGACCAGTATTCTAACAATGTAGCACTCGCTCAGCATGCACTGAAGCATCAGCCTAGATTGTGAGTTCAAAGTCCCGACTTGGGGCATGACCCACAACCTTGTAACTCAAGAACTACCATATGAGCCAGGCTGAATGGAGCTTGGAAAGATGGCTTTGGTGGAAGGCATTGGGTAATGATTATAGTATTGAGCACAACATGCATTGAGGTGATTTACAATAAGATGCAAATTGACAAACTATTACGACAGCGAGTGATCTATTCACTATTGGTTCACAAAGCCAGAGGGATCAGTCAGGTAGTATTTAATTTAGTGACATAAAAGGAAAAGTGCTGCTTTGGTTTATGTGGCATCACATATCTGAAGGCTGGTCAACAAATTTGTTTGTGGCAGACAATAATTGATATGTGTTCAATTATATAAATGAAGCCAGAACGCAGATGTTGGGATTACAAGATTTGCCAACAAATCTCTCATGGTTTTACTGAGATGTAAATGGGCCAATTGAAAAAACTGCCTCCATTTGATTGAATGTATGCGTGTTGACAAAGGCAGACAATAATATGAATAGTTCCACTTTCTTTGCTTCCCCTCTGGCAAATGTAGAATTTTGTCATGCCCATACATTTGAGGAATCCTCACAGAGAGACGTCTGATATATTCTGACTAGAGTAGAGTTGATTCGCTGTGAAATCATGTTGAAGGGACATGAAAAGCACAGTATAAAATCAGAATTGAGGTGTGTGAGTGACAAGCGATTTTCCCTGGAGCCTGGCTGCCCGAGGGTCACCTTGAGGCGGTGCCAAATTATTTCAGCCGCCACTCAAACATGATCACTTAAGTGTTCTTTGGCACAGGAGGATTTTTAATAATATTAAAGAGCCAGTTGCAATCCCGACTCTTTAATAAACATGAAAAATGACGTCTGTTTGGTGCCAGTTAGCTCTACTCGGGCCCCATCGGGAAGTATAAATCAGGCTTCCTGCTTGTAATAGCTTTACTGTAGAAAGCGATAAGAAAAATCACTTCCAGTGCTACAAGCTGGGCAGGAGCCTCCTTGTGGTTTTAACTAGTTCAGAGAATGATGGAAAGAAAAAAAGCTTACATTTTTACAGCATTTTTATCACAATGGAAAGTCTCAAAAATGCTTCACAGGTAATTACCGTTAACGTTTTGTAGACGGATGTGGTGACCATTTGCACAAACAGCCACTTAATGACTTAATAGATGGATTTCCTAATGTCCCTCTTTGATTCCCCTACAAACATTTTATATTTCTCAGAATTTTCTTCTGTATTACTAGCCTCTATAAATCATGTTTAAATTTCAGCTTTTTTCCAATAATAACAATAATATCATTATATGGTTAAATCCCTGAATTTAACAATCTGCAGTAGAACGCGGCTGCCAATTTGTCCACAACAATGTCCCACAAATGGTTAGGAGGTGACTGTTCAGTGGGACATGAAGACTGTTTGCTGCAAACCCTCAACACTGAGAGAAACATTCTTTTTCAAGCGGATAGGTTGATATGGGATTAGCAGGTCACAGAGGTAGGAAGGAACATGGCACGGATATGAGACAGAAAGGACAGCTGAGGGTCAAACAAGACACCATAACCCATAAAGGTTATATTTCTGGAAGAGAAACACAAAAATATTGCTTACGAGGCCCACGAACGCTTCTCAAATCAGGTATCCATCTGGCCCTCAGCAATCAAAAGGTTGGACGACCCTGGTCTAGACTATGAGATTGAATTCCATGACTGGCATTTGAATATACAACCTTCTGAGGAAAGAGTACAACCAACTGTTAAACAGGGGAAGAGGATGGTGGTGAGAGAGAATTTTGTGGTTGTCGGGTTCTCCTGCGGTTTGTGCAATATTATTCATTGATTGACAGATTAGCTAACACCTGGTTATTGCACAAACCAACATACATCCAGTGCCTTGGGATGTCCTCCCAACGTGGAAGGCGCTCAACAAATGTAATGTGTTGTATTGTTCAGGCTCTGCTGCTTCTAAGTGAGCAACAGAGGCCAATGTCTGAGGCAACAACCATCAGTCACAGCTGATCCTGCACAGTCTTGCCTTTGCTTCATTTGCTTTGGTTACTTATATAGCAACATAGGAACAGGAGTGGAGTCCTGTAGCTTAGTGGTTAGAGCACTCGCTTTGCAAGTGAGAGACCTGAGTTTAATTCCAGGCAGAGGGCGAAACCTTGGGCAAGTTTCCTTACTCCACACAGAGCCTAATAATAATCCCTCCAAAACCAAAAACAATAATAAATTGGTCATTTTCAATCTACGACTGTTTGTGGGATATTGCTGTGCGCAATTGGCTGCCGCGTTCGCCCACAAATATAGTCAATTCACTTTACAGTGTGTTCTGTGAAGCGCTTTGGGACGTCCTCCAGACGTGAAAAGCGCTATATCAAATGCAAGGATTATTATTATTATTATTATTAACTGAGGCAAGCTACTATCTAACCTCTCCATCTCCTCATGTAACCATGAAATCTTTGATGGATCCCAATTGCATCCATCAGACTGTATTTAATCCATACTGCACCCATCTCATATTTGAATTTCTCTCACTGCTGGGTCTACTATCATTTCTGCCAAATTCTCAAGACAATTTTCATGGGTTTGAAATCCCTTCATCTCATTGAAATTTCAATTCCTTGGTCCAAAACCTTTATGCTAGATTTGATTATTTCTCTGTTTTCACAGGTCACTAATTCCAAATTTTCCGAGTTCATGGACAATACTTTGAAATTATCTTTTTAATGTTGTAAATGTGAAAGTGGAAGAGCCAAACGGTAAGCATTTTTTTCTTACTACTGTAAGAAACAGATCTTAAAAGACTTGAAAGGCATATGACTAAGAACTTCAGACATGGATCAACTTTTCGTTTAAACTCTTCGCCGATAAAGACTCAACATGGTTAAGAAATAATGAATTGCATAGAACTTCACTGCACAGAAATAGGCCTTGCAGCCCAACTAGTCCATGCCCATGTTTATCCTCCATATTTGCGATAAATTTATTCCTAGAATCTCTGGACAGTCTTGTGTTCGATTATCGTGGACATATTTGGAAAAATAATGGGAAAGTGTTATCCAATTCCTATTGCTGACAAGAATTTACCAGACTAGAGATGTTGAGATGAACCTAATGTAGTTAAATAAATGTAGAGAATTATTCATAATAATCTATGTTTGTAGCATTGGTCAGTGCTTTACCTTTTAGATGTTGAAGCACTTTCGTAAATTCAGCGCTCTTGTTAAAATACCTACACTGTGGCTAACAAGGAGTAAAAGACTGTAACAAAATCTCAACTGCATTCTTAAATGGTACATTGCTTAGGTTTTACAATATAGGAGTATAAGCTGTGTGCTTTTTAATGCATCCAAACCCCAACAATCAATTGAAAGTGATACTCTGGCTGGGAATGGCCAACTCAGCAAATCATGGATTGAACTGGATTATACGCTCAAGGTCCAGATAGCTTGGTATCATTGTACAGAGTATCTTTTTAAACAGAATGTAAATGCTAAATAGAAGTTGGAGACCTGTTTGGTGCCGTTACTAAACTTTGAGAGCCAAACAAAATAACCGAGTGTAGGACGTCAATTATGTTTGTTAATTCAGCTGCCTTCCTTGTACTGTCAGGTTCCCTCACTCTAAACTACTTCACTCAATTAGCTAATGAGTGTTGATGAAATAAAATATTCTGGAAATCAATGGGGCGGGAGGGGAGGGGGGATAATTACAATTCTCTTTAACAATTTGATACTTCTGAAAAAATCATTTTCCTCACAATACTTTTAACTTTAGAGAAACCAGATTAACTGAGACGGGTATTTTGGGGCACTATTCTGAATGGACATCTCCAGGGTGGGAAAGAAAAAAAACTGTAACATGAAACCAAACTTTACAACAGTTCGTACAAGGATTGGTATTCAGCAATAAACTGACCGCACTCACAAAGCACCAATGGTCATGTGGGCCATTCTGAATAGACCAGACGGCAAGAGGAAAAAAAACTGAAGGAAACACGCTGTAACTTGAAACCAAGGTTACACCAATCCCTGAAGTGCAGCATCATTTACATCCTTGCACACTTAAATAGTTTTCTTTAAATAAAAATGTTGCAGAGAGTTGCTCTAAAATTTGAAGGGACGGTCAAGGTTCAGAACAATTTGTAGACCTTATCTTTAAACACGTGGTATATAATACTATTATTCATACAGATGCAATACTGTTCAAAACAATACTTAACTGTCATGGCGATCATAGAACAAGGCCGATGCAAACCTCATGAACCTACACCACATTACAATGCACATATTTATAACATTTTTATTTTCACCTTTCAGGATGCATGTCATTACTGTTGCTTACCTCAGATTTTGAGGACATCTCTTCATCTAACGCCAAATCATCTGGATCTACAATGTCTTCAAATGGCGGTAAACTAGGTTTCTTTTTCTCTATTATTTCACTTTCCATTTTCACCTTTGCTGCTTTAACCTGCAATCTGTCCTTCATCAGCTTTTTTTCAGAAGAAAGTGGTTGTAGAGAAGCACCGGAAAGGGTTTTAAACGAAGATTCAGAACTGCTTTTCTTTCTCTTTTTGGCTACAAGTTCATCAGAGTCTGAATTAGGAGGCCTCTTTGTTGCCACCTTCACATCCTGCTGCAAGCCTCCTGCCCCAACCAGCATATTGTTGTTTTCCAATGATTTTGGCTCTCTGAACATTGGTTTTGGTTCCTTAAATGCCGTCTTAGGAACAGGTTTCTCATCTTTTAGTGGTTTGTTTTCTTTGGGTTTCTTTGAGGGCTCTTTGGAAGTTTTACTGTGTTCCCTGGAAGGTTCTTTAAAGGCACTTTTATGCTCTTTTGAGTCTCTCGATGGTTTGTCTTTGTGCTCTTTCATGGATTTGTGGGGCTTCGAGGAGCTGCTACTGCTGTTAGTGCTGCTGGTCTTGTTTGGATCCTGCAATAGAGAGATTTTCTATCAAAAAAAGTCATAACAAAACAAATCTTATGAACAAATTAACAAAACTGTGCTTCAATACAACACTGCATTGCCCAAACACAGGAGGCAATATTCAAATGGGTCAGGTGGCAATGGTTTAAAAGAATGATAATGGCTTAAAAGTCCTCATACAGTTAGAAAGGTAACATTTCTATCATGTAAAGTCTCACTTTTTCAGTACTTGTGAATCATTTTTAATGTATAATTCGGATATCAGTGGGGCTGTGATTAGTAGCAGTTCTGTGAAGTGAACTAGCGGGCTTGTGGTTGGCTATTAGATCTGAAAGGAGGAGACGGAGGTTCAAGGAGGGCAGAGAACATGAAACTATCACTGGATGATCACAGCTGACGTTACAATTGAAGCCTCCTGTAGTTGCTGACTAATTTGATAACTTTTCTTGCATAATCCTAGGAAATTGTGTTAATTTGGCAACTTCCAATCTTCAATACAATACCTATGGAACACTCAGGGGAAAAGCCACTTTAACTATTCAACGGTAGCGATACATCTTTGTGTTAAATCTAGAATATCTGAAATGTTGCCCTATTTTACAATCTCAAGATTTTGAAAAGCCACAAATATGTAACAAAATGTTTTTGAAAAAAATCTAAAATTATAAATAATAATCCTAGCATTTCATACAGTGCCTTATCATCAAAACACTCCACAGGATTTGTCGTAGTGACTGCATAGTTGTAGGTGAACACAACGCTTTGTCCCACAAACAGACATGAAGTAAAATGACTAATTTTAGCAAGGAGGGGAGGAATTCTGCTGATTTGCATCATCTTTTCTTGATTCAAATGCATCCCTGTGTGTGTCCATTTGGCCGCTGGACTTTTTGAAAGCCCTTTTATTAGTTCTCATTTGCAGATTTTTTTGGGGGGTGGGGTCATCCAAATATTATAATAATAATCCTTGCATTTGATATAGCGCTTTTCACGTCTTCTCGACGTCCCAAAGCGCTTCATAGAATATATTGTGAAGTGAATTGACTGTATATTTGTGGGCGAACGCGGCAGCCAATTGCGCACAGCAATGTCCCACAAACAGTCATATTCCACTCTTCCAGGCTAATCCCACAGTTTCTAACTCATACTGGCATAGTGTGTCCTGGTGACAACACACACATCTTGAGACTATACATGTAGAAAAAAGGAGTCATACAATGCTGGTGTCCCAAATAAAACCAAAGATGATTTCACAGGAACACATTTTTTTTATTTTGGAACGATTTATAAAGTTAAAATGCGCTAAGAAGAGGTTTTTTTAATTTTAAAAAAAGGCTTTGGCAGAACATACAAGAGGATTGCCATCAATTTATAAGGTTCTGAAAGAATTTAATCGTTTCTCTGAAAGAGTGTGGGGGTGGGGGGGGGGGGGGGGGGTGGGGGAGTGAGAGTTGTGCATTGGACCTGTTCACTGTAAATGATATTAAATACAATAGAACAAGAACAAATCGCAAACACACTGGGGAGATACTTGTGGAGCGCTTAGATTTTAATGGAAAATTCTAACCTTGTTAAAGAAAAACACTTGGAGATGGTACAGAAACAATACACACAGCTCCAGTCTTATTCCTTTCTCGTGATGCCTGCATATACAATGAGCTGTCCCTCACCCTTCTTCTGCAGTCAAGAAAATATAAAATCAGTTGAGATGGATGGAAAATCTCTCATCTTAATCACAAACATATGAGGTGAAAATCTGTAGATCTGCATTGGGATCTGAATTTGAAGAATGTGTCAGGTAGGCACTAACACATTTAAAAGAAAGTCGTCCAGAGTCATCTTTAAGCCTGGGCCAACTGACAAACAGAAAAAGGGCTAATCTGATCACTGCAATAAAGAACGCTTTTCAAAGCCAGGAAGATATACTGAGCGCAGTTTTAAAATTGAACCTTTCAAAACGGATTTCTGATAGCTCGTCGAAGTAATGGAAATTCTTTCTACATGCAGTATGCAGCACACTGGTACAGCTTCAAGCTCAGTGAAGGAAATCAGTGCGCCCTTAAAAGCACATGACCATTGTATAGAACAGGTATGGCCAACTTCCAGCCCGTGTGGCTACTTTATGCATGTATAATGCGGCCCGCAGGAGGCCCACAAGGTGACCATCCCTGCCACAGAACATTACAACACAGAAACAAGCCATTCGGTACAACATGTCTGTGCCAAACCCCTGCCCTCTATTCCTTTGTCTCTCACAGATACAGAACAAATGAATGTTACTTATAACATGCCCACATGTTTTGAGACAAACTTCAGTACTGTCGTAGAATTAAAACCAAACAAAACTGAACAAGACAAATGGCATACTATTCAAAAGCAGCATTTAGTGTTGAAGGTTGTTAAGAGTTTGGAATTCAATGCCATAAATGGCTATTGAGACCAGAGCAATTCAGCTTGGCTCAGTGGTAGCACTCTCACCTCAGAGTCAGAAGATTGTGGGTTCAATCCCCACGTTGGGACATGAATGCACGTAGTTCTAAGCTCACACTCCACAGCAGTGCTGGAGATGTGGTGCATTGACAGAGATGCCGTCCTTTGGATGAGACATTAAACCGAGGTCCCATCTGCCTGTTCAGATGGATATTAAAGATCCCATGGCACGAAAAGAAAAGGGAGTTTCTCCCAGTGTCCTGGCCAACAATCCTCCAAATAAAATTGGTCATTTGTTTCATGCCTGTTTGTGGGACATTACTGTGCACAATTGTGCTGCTGCATTTGCCTACAAATACACAGTCACTTCATTCCACATTAATTCCTCTGAAGCACTTTGAGAGATCATACCAACATGATAAGGAGCTGTGGAGTCCTGTAGCTCAGTGGTTAGAGCACTCGCTTTGCAAGCGAGAGACCTGAGTTCAATTCCAGACAGAGGGCGAAACCTTGGGCAAGTTTCCTTACTCCACACGCCTAATAATAATCCCTCCAAAACCAAAAACAATAATAAAATTGGCATTTTCAATCTACGACTGTTTGTGGGACATTGCTGTGCGCAATTGGCTGCCGCGTTCGCCCACAAATTTACAGTCAATTCACTTTACAGTGTGTTCTGTGAAGCGCTTTGGGACGTCCTTCCGACGTGAAAAGCGCTATATCAAATGCAAGGATTATTTATACCAAATGCAATGATTATTATTATATTATTATAAGTCAAAGGTAGCTAAATAAACACTTGGGCAATATAAAAGTAAGTTTAATTAAAAGAAAAGTGACTTAGTATTGCAGATAGCAGTGGCAGAGACACAACTGATTAAATGGCCCCATTCTGGGGTGAAAATGTTTATGATTCTAGATTAAGAATCAAATAATAAAATGCTAAAAAACACACTTTATATTAAGATTTAGATATTTAGTCACCAATAAGGCTCCCATTCTTACAATGCAATGCATCTCATGAGGGATAAATACGATTATTGAAAATTGATGAGATGTTGACATAAGTAATGTTGCTAATGTTTTGATGTATTTAACAGCATTCCCAAGAGAGAATTGTTAAACACACTGCAACTCTCCCATGAGGTTTGTGTTCAGATTGGTAAAGTTGAAAGAAAAACACGAGACACATTGTCATCATGTTTCCTGTTTTTTAAAATAAATTCCCCCCCCCATTGCTGCATTCTCTGTGAGCCAGGTGTCTGAGGCAGCCTACTGCATTGACTCGCCTTGGCTATCAGTATGTTGTGATCAGATGAGTTTTCTTTCAAGCTTTTCTCACCTTTCTACTTCACCTCCTCTTCGTTTTTCTTTCTCCCCCCACCCCCATAAAAACAGCTGCCCAACAGTCTATTACAGAACTACCACAACTCACCCAGAGAGAGAATGTGAGCTCAAAAGAACAGTCAAGGTTGGTATCCTAACTGGTGACGCTCTGGTCTGGCACTCGGGGTTCTGTTACTGAAGACCCTGGACTAAAGAGCTAGGTTTCTGATCAGTAATAACAGAGAGAGGAGAGACTGTAGCTTCAGACTTTTTTGACATCATACCTGTGCACAAGTCCATTAACTGCTATAAAACATCAGCTCAAGCCACTTATCTCAAGCTTTTAAATCCATAGCTATGAATTATGATAATGCTGACTTTCTTCATAGTTAGACTGGAGTTGAAAACTGACCTTTGACCCATGTGAGGGCTTGCTTTTCTTCCCTTCAGAAAGAGTCAAGGGGTTACTAGGAAGGGCAGGGGGATGAAGATGCAGTCCAGAAGGGGCTGGTGTTCCATCTGACATCAACATAATCTGTCACAAAAATTACACAAATCTTAGCAAATTCAGGGTAGTTGACATTACCCACTGCTTATGGGAAAAAAAGCTGCACCGCTGAAAGATTCTGTTTAAGGGGATCTGCAAATCATATCTATAGGTTTACGATTGCCATTTCATAACCTATGAAAATAGACATTCTTCTCTAGCCTCAGCTATTTTTCCCTGGATAGGATTAAAGAGAAGGGAAGCTGAAAGAGAGAGAGGAAAAAAAGAGATAGCCCACCACAAGTTCTGTAGAACTCTGCGTGGACTAAAAGTTTTAAGTTTGTGATTTAAGAAAAGAAAAACCTTAATATATATTGTATGCTTAGGAAATTTCTATTTCACAGAGTCTGCACCCAAACAAACCAATGATTTCAAACTTAAGCACGTTGAAAGCTCAGAGGACAATCCTCAAGTGAACTGCAGTTCAACTCGTAAAAACATTTAACAGGACTCAATTGTTTCTGCAATTCTCACAGAATAAATAAAAAGCATCTGGAAAAAAATGAGACAATGATGAGCATTTCTAAACTAAACTTCTGACAAACAACACAATGAACAATGTGGCTTTGGTTATTGGTTTTGAGGATATTTTTCAGCAGAGTACCTCGCCTTGGAAGTGTGCTCTGCCACAAAGGTGGATAACTGGGATTTTTTAAAATAAAAAACAACTATTTTAAAGGCTGTCAAGATCTCAAGGCGTTCC